TCTGATTATAAGGATGATAGATAAAGGATATGGTTCCATAGGTCATATTCAACTTGATGGCACCTAACATCAACAACAACCAATTTTTGCATCCTGAAATTGGCCAAACATGCAGTTATGATACATTAAGTCTTTTTTAGTAGATATTCTTGATTATGCTACTTCCTTTCCATTCCTAGTTTGTTGAGCATTTTTTGTTGGATGAGTTTTTTTATTTATCAAATGTGTTTTCTTTCTGCTTGTATAGTTTGTAGAGAGTTGAGCTGCTAATCTAAAGGCTCAGCCACTGGAGGTTTAAATATGCCAGAAACTCTGAGGGAGGAAGATGGACAATTTCCTCCCATATGATCTGAAACCAAAGATAGATTTCTACTCCAATTTTAGAGAGAAAGATTGATATGATTTCTCTTCCCTGATTTGTTGATGTGATAAATATAAAAATTGATTTAAAAATATTGAACAAAATTCTTATATCCTGAATAAAGCTCCCTTGAATGTGTTATGTAATTATTTTTACACCTTATTAATTTGATTTGCTAATATTTGGTTAGGGCTTTTTAATCTTTTACAAGGTTTATATTGATGTATAACATAGGAAAAGATAATTGTAATATAATTTTATTGATAAATAATTTTTTAAATTTTAATGTCCTTGGTTTTGTTATTAATCTGGCATCATAGAATGAGTTATTTCCTCTGCATCAGTAAACATGTTTCTGGAAAACATCTTAGAGAATGGTGTAATTTCTTCCTTAAATAGTGCAATTCACCAGAGAAGCCATCTGGACCTGGTCTTTCTGTTTTGGTAGATTCTTAATTATTGATTTAATGTTTTAAATAGACATAATTCTATTCATACAATAACAACAAATATGTTCCCATTCCCAAGAAGGGTGATCCAACTGAATGTAGAAATTATCAAATGATAACATTGATACCACATGCAAGCAAAATACTGCTGAAGATCATTCAAAAATGGCTGGAACAGTACATAGATAGGGAATTGCCAGAAGGTAGAATTTAGAAGAGGCTGTGGATATCATTGCTGATGTCAGATGGATCCTGGCTAAAAGTAAGGAATACCCTAAGAATATTTATTTGTGCTTTATTGACAATGCAAAGGCATTTGACTATGTAGATCATGACCAGTTATGGCTGATATTGAGAAGAATTGGAATCCCAGGGAACTTAATTGTGCTCATGAGGAACCAATACCTGGATCAGGAGGCTGCTGTGCCAGCGGAGCAGGGGAGCTCTGCATGGTTTGGAATTGAGAAGGTAGTGGTGCATCAGGATTGTATTCTGCTTCCATGCCTGTTTACAATCCATGTTGTAAACATATGTTGTATCAGGTGTTGTTGATTGCCATTGAGTTGAGCACGACTCTTAGTGAATCTATAAAAAAGACCTAATGCTTTTCTATAACTATCATTGTTTGTCCAAGTTCATAGATAGTCCGAGAAGCTGGACTCTATGAAGAGGAATGTGGCATCAGGATTAGAGAGAGAATCATCAATAACCTGAATTGATGACACAACTTTACTTGCTGAAAGTGAAGAGGACTTGTAACACTTGTTGCACAAGATCAAGGAATGCAGCTTTTGGTATGGATTACGTCTCAGTATCAAGAAAACAAAGATTCTTACCACTGGACCAGTAGGCAGTGTCATGATGGAGGGAGAGGAGATTCAAATTGTCAACAGCTTCATCTTGGTTGGATTCACAATTAACACTCTTGGTACCAGCAGTCAGGAAATAAGGAGAGACAATGCACTGGGAAAATCTGCAATTAGGGACCTTTCCAAATTATTGAGGAGTAGTGATGTCAGTTTGAGGACTAAAGTGCATATGATTGAGGCCATAGTCTTTCCAGTTACTAGCTATGCATCTGAGACCTGGACAATGAATAAGGCTGCCAGAAAAAGAACCTTTGAGCTATGATGTTGGAGCAGAGCACTGAACATCCCATGGACAGCCAAGAGAATGAACAGATATGTCTTGGAGAGAGAGGGTACAGCTGGAGTGCTCTTTGGAGGCAAGAATGATGAGGCTTCTCCTCACATACTTTGGACATATTGCTAGGAGGTTCTACTCCTTGGAGAAGGATATGATGCTGGGAAGGGTGGAGGGTCTGTGAAGGAGAGGAAGACCCTCTACCAGGTCGATTGACATAGTGACTGCTGCAATGGACTGTTGTGTGTCAGGAAGTATTAGTATGGTGCAGGACAGGACTAGGTTCAGGTCTTTTGTTCATAAGGTTGCTATGAGTCCTACTTAACTTGACAACACCTAATAACAACAACAACAACAACAATTCTATTCATATTACTTTGTTCTACTTGTGTATGCTTTGATGTGTCTTTGAAGGAATTGGTCAGTTTTAACTAAATTGTCATATTTGTGAGCACAGAATTGTTTAAATATTACTACTGTATTATGTACATACTATTTTATACTTTATATGTATGAGATTGGACTAGGGGGGCATTGTGGGAGGGTAGGGATAGGGGAAAGAATGGGGAGAAAATGTGCAATAATGAATAAATTTTAAAAAAATGAAAAAATTTTAAAAATTACTGTATTATCATTTAGGAAGCTCTAATGCTAAGAAACTGTGTTGTATACCAAAAGGTATCCTGTTTGAATCCACCAGCTGCTCTGTTGAAGAAGGGCAGCCTCCTCCCATGCAATTTATTTCCTCTGAAAACCTGCTGGAGGGTCAGCTATGATATGGTTCCACTTGACCACACACAGAAACAACAATGTGTTATGTTTTAATGTTCTCGGAATCAGTAGCAATGGTGTCTATTTAATTTTGTGTGTTAATAATATATATCTTCTCTTTTATTTGTTTTAGTTAACTTGTCTAGAAGTTTATATATTTTATTAATCATTTCAAAGAACAAGATATTTTGTTAATTTTATCTTACTTTTCCCCCATTTTGTCAGTTCATGCCCTACTGTTTATTTGATAATTGCTTGGTAATCTCAATCTGTTAGGTTTTTTTTTTTATTTTTTTTAAGTTGTCAACTGTTTAATTTCACTTAAATCCATAATTAACACCTATGGAAGCAGCAATCAAGAAATCAAAAGACATGTTACATTGAGAAAAATCTGCTTTCAGGGGTCTCTTCTAAGTGCTAAGGAGCAAGCATATCAGTTTTAAAACTAAGGTGCACCTGATGAAATTTTTTTCTCTCATTACATTTATTCTGGTTATTGATATGTTTGGACTTGTACCAGTTTGACTTATTTAAATCAGACTTTCCCTTTGATAACATTCAGAGTTATCCTTTCTACTTAATCATATTTTCAAGAACACAAATAACTAAGAGGAACAGTAGAAAAGGGAAAGAACCAGAACATCCATGTGACCATTAGTTCTATTACTTTTTGCGTCATATGCCTGCTTTATTCTAACCTCTGTTAACTCTACAAGGAAATTTTGTCTTCACAAACAACATCCATGGTTATAAAACTGATCCCTGTAAAGTCAGACATGGTCTCCTAAGCTTCTGCACCTATTTCTTCTAATCGTTATGTGCCATTGAGTCATGACTCATAGCAACTGTATGTACAAGAGCCCTAAATCCTGCTCTCTTCTTGTGCCAACCTGATTGTCTCTAACATACCTACCCCCCATTACCCCAATTACTGAATCAATCCATTTCATCAACGGTCTTTCTTCTGCTGTCCCTCCACCCTCTCAAACATGATGTCTCTTTCAAAGGACTGGCCCCTCTTTGTAACATGTCCAAAGTATATTAGATGAAGCTTCAGAATCCTTGCCTCCAAGGAGCATTCTGGTTTCACCCTCTCCAGGATGAACCTGTTTGTTTTTCTAGCAGTCCGTTGTATATTCAGCACTCTTCTCTAGCACCAAAGGCATCTCTTTCTATCATCCTAATAATATAATTTTATTTTTAAATTATCTTTCTATCATCCCTAGTCATTGTCCAGCTCTCTGATGCATAGTAAGCAATTGTGAAGACTAAGGCCTGGACCAGGCGTACCTTAGTCTCCAGACAAACATCGTTGCTCTTTAGTCCTCTGGAGAGGTCCCTGACAGCTGACTTTCCCAGTGCAATTTGTCTCTTTATTTTCTGGCAGCTGGTACCAAGAGTGTTAATTGTTGAGCCAAGCAAACTAAAAACTAAATCTCTTCACCATCCATAATGATGCTGCCAATTGACCCAGTGGTGAGAATCTTTCTTTTCTTGATGTTGTAAAGGATCTAGCTTATGAATACTTTGGGAATATCCCAAGCAGATTTTAATTAATGCAAAAGGCCTTAGATGGAAATGTGTTGGGCTTCAAGAAAGCAAGTGTAACTAATAGAAGTGGAGAATGTTGTAGGAGATTAGCATAAAAGTGGAGAAAAAATGATCAAGTTTCTTTTATGTCTGTCAGTAATGACAGTTGTTGGATGTTGTCAGACCAGGTCTGCCTTACAATATCCTGTGTACAACGGAACTGAACGCTGCCCAGTCCTGTGCCTTCCTCACAGTTTCTGTTGTTCTTGACTCCATTGTTGCCGCCACCATGTCAGCCTCATCTCTCTGAGGATATTCCTATTTTTTGTTTTCTCCAAGAACTTCGTGTTAGTGTTCTCAAAGTAAGGGAGATAAAATTTCACCATCCTCACTTCTGTAAGTACATCTTGTAAGACATGTTTGGTAGTGCATGACAGTAATTACAGTATTTGAGGTCCATACTTGAGAACAGAACATACTCTGAAGGATTATAATACTAGCAATCTAGAAACAAGTGCTTTGTTTCTTTTTTTTAACCAGATGCATTATTAAAAAAAAATATGCCAAGAGAATTTTTTAGCATTGATACCAGTTTTTCAGTAATTGGCTTCTTTTATCTCTTATACAGGTCACTTGACTATTTGCTTACTTCTCCGTCCCAAACTCAACAGATAAACATCTTCTTGCTTTGTTTCAATTTCAGGATTCTTATTATATGGATATATGGATCACTGATTGAATAATAGATGGCTTTACCTCGTCTCACAGGAGCCTTGCGCACCTTTTCAAATGTCACCAAACAGGATAATTATAATGAAGATGTGGCTGACTTAAAGGTAAATTTTTTTCAGATGAAAATCATTACAGGCATAGAGTATAGGCAAATATTTGGCGTTCTTTTTCTCTGCTTTGTGTGCTTAAGGTAGCAGTTTTATCTAACTTATTGTTTTAAGAAGGGGAATGGACACAATAATGTTGCCTAGAAGAATGCTTATGTTAAGCATCTATGAGTGTGTTGTTAAAGGTAGTAATCAAAACAATGGTAATTAATAATTTTATTTTGTTAAATTATCTTCTAGTCTTCTTTATAATTTTACATAGTAATTTACATATTAATCCTCAATATATTTTAGTTCTCCATTAACTGTCTTATCAAATTGAGTAGAAGCACTGTCTTATAATATGGAAAATATTAATCACTTAGATTTATATGGGCTCATATTTGGCTTTCTTTTGACCTTATTACTGGTTGTTGTTGTTGTGTTGTTCTGTACCATTGAGTCAGTCCCACAGGGACAAATATTATATAAAACCATTATTGTAGAATAAGTATAAGGATCCAAGGGAAGGTTGTGGAAGCAGATTGATGAGGATGTGTGGGGGGTGGGGAGGAGGAGGCAATTAATCATGGAGTTGTACAATTTGATGGGCAGGGGTGAGGGAAATTGGAAGAATTTGTTCTCAAAAATAATGTATTTGAATTTTGTAAATGAATTAATATAATTAAAAAAAGAAATAGTTTTAAATTGTGGAAATATGAGAATGCCTACATTACTATGATAAGCTTATGTTTTTATCTTTAAAATACCATATTAAGTGCAGTTTTGCAGTATGTGCATCTATTAATGCAAAAGACACAAGAGAAGAGAGTAACAGGTGCTGTTCATTCCAGTTTAAAGGCTTTTTAACAACTTTGAAGTGATAAATCTATTAATTGCCAAAATTTATGAAAATAAAATTGTTGATAGTAGAAGTTTTGTTATGGGGGAATTTAGGTCTTTTCCAAGGTGTTTTAAAGGTGGAGGATCAGTCAAAGAAAGCAAGATCCTCAAACAGATGGACTGACAAAGTGATGACTGCAGTGGGCTCAAGTGTGTCAGAGATTAGGAGGCTGGTACAGGATAGAGCAGGGTTCAGATCTGTTGGGTTGTGCTTGACAGCACCTAATAACTAACAACAACAAAGTATTTTGTGTTATGGGTACTATAGAAGATATTAAATTTTGAAAGAGCATAGAGGTTACATTCAGATCCTTTGTCAATTTACTTACTCTTAAAAGAGGTTTTTTAATGAAGGAAAGTGGCAAATATAATTAACCTTATTTTGTTTTAATTTAGTTTTTTTTATATGGTAGAATGTTTAACTTGTAAAAGGGAAAGTAAAATGAATTTTTATGTACCTATTTATCCATTTTTTCCTTTTTCAAATTTCTCCATTAAAGCACTGTAGTTAAACTCATAGCTAATCTTGTTTCATCCCTATTTTTACCAATTTACCTCCCATTGGATTATGTAATGTCATCAACATAATCAAGAGTTAAATGACAGCTTTATTGTTGATCTGTGAGAATCACACACATGGATTAAGGGCCAGGAGATAAAATTATTAATGCCCTTTGTGAGCAGTACTTAAGAATGCAAAGATTTATAGAAAAGAGTGGTTCTAGATGTTAAAATTAATGAATGGCTAGCTTGGTTTAGGATCATTCTTAATGAAAGCAGTGCTCACTTGAATATATTGAACTTACCTTGAGAAATTAATTTTCTTTAAATACTTAAAGAAATAGGTACATAGGGTTTTCAAAGGCCTGCTATTTCAGAAGTGGATGTTGAAGGTACCATGGACTACTAGGAAAACAGACAGATTCATCCTGGAGAGGATTAAACTGGGCGGCTCTTTGGAGGCAAGGATTCTGAGGCTTCATCTAACATACTTTGGACATGTTGTAAGGAGGGACTGGTCCTTGGAGAGGGTCATCATGCTTGGGAGGGTGGAGGGACAGGGCAGGAAAGGAAGGATCTCTATGAGGTGGATGGATTGATTCAGTGACTGGGGTAATTGGGATGGGTGTGTCGGAGACAGTGTTATTGGCACAGGACAGAGCAGAGTTTAGGGCTGTTGTACATAGAGGGTCGCAGTGAGTTGCAAGCGACTCAATGGCACATAACAACAACAACTTAAAGAAAACAAAAAAACTTTTAAGAAACTTTATGTAAAACTGTGTAGTATAGTTGGAGCTATATTAAAAACTCAGAAAAATGGAAAGAGGTATAAGGACTATTCCCTGTTTATTGTTACCATGGATATTGGGCTTTTTGCTTTATGAAGAGTATACTTCGGGTATGTTGTCTGGTGATGACTATCTTTGGAAAAAAGACATGATGCTAGGGAAAAAAGAGTCTAGAAAAAATGGATTGACACAGTGACTTAACAGTGTACTTGAGCAAGGTGGACATTAGGAGGATGGTACAGGATAGGGCAGGGTTTCAGTCTCTTGCCACTGTGAGTCATAGTCAGTTTGACAGCAGCAACAATATACAGGGTGATTAAAAGTTAAAAACAAAGGGAACAAACCTTTTTTAAAATCTTTTCAACAGATATTAGTCTGTAAAATCATATTTAATATTTTTGAATTTTTTTTATAATGCCAACTTATACTATAATGTAGAAAATAATTATTAAATGATAGAAATGAGAAAATCTTTTATTTGAAATTCTCTCTTTCAGGTGAAGCGGTCCAAGCTGCATGAACAAGCTTTAGATTTGGGTCTAACATGGAAGAAGATAGTAAATTTTTTGAATGAAAATCTGGATAAGAATGAAGCACAACGTGTAAATGAAGACTTAAAAGATATATTACAGGCTGCAAAACAAATAGGTATAAGTTTTTAAAAGAATTACTAAGGTTCATGTTAAAAAAGCAGAGGTCTTGTGGGGATGGCCATATCCGACGTTTACCAACTCCATGAAGGACAACTGTCCCCGTCAGCAATGCAGAACCAATTCTCATGAGATCAGATATGTACTGCATGCTTCTGCAACTCTTTCTCTTCATCCCAGCACCAATCTTACTGGTTTTCTGGATCCAGAATCAGTTACAGTATCTCATAGACCACACAGAACCATATTAGGGAAGTCAAAAGGCTCTAAATCAGATTGATGTTGTTGTTAGGTACCCACGAGTCAAGTACAATTCATAGTGAACCAATGAACAAAAGATCTGAACCCAGTCCTGTCCTACCTCATCTCACACTTCCTGACACAACAGCCAGCCTGTTGCAGCAGTCACCCTGTCAGTCCACCTGGTTGAGGGTCTTCCTCTCCTTGGCCAACCCTCCACCCTTCTCAACATCATGTCACTCTCCCACGAAAAGCACCTCCTAGCAACATGTCCAAAGTATGTGAGGCGAAGCCTCATCATTCTTGCCTCTAATGAGCACTATGGCTGCACCCTTTCCAAGACATACCTGTTTATTCTCTTGGCTATCTGTGGAATGTTTGGTGCTCTTCTCCAACACCATAGCTCAAAGGTATCAGTTCTTTTTCTGTCATCCTTATTCATTGTCCAGGTGTCAAATGCATAACAAGTAATCAGAAAGACTATGGCCTGAATCAGATAGACCTTAGTCCTCAAACTGACATCACTACTCCTTAATAACTTGGAAAGGTCTCTAACTGCAGATTTTTTTCAGTGCAATTTGTCTCCTTAGTCACTCATGTAGGAACATCTTCTGAAATGTGTTCACAGGCACCTCAGCCTTGAGCTTTGCAGCTTTAGGCCAGTATTACAGAGATATTAGTCCTACCAATTATGGCTCTGGTCTTCCGCCTTTCCCCCACTCCCCTTGTCCAGCAAACTTGGGCAAAGCCTCCTAATTCTGGTTCAGTGGGGTAGCAGACTTTGTTTAATGTCAGGTCTCTAGTTCTCTGCTGTGGCAGCTATGGTTGCTGCTCCCGCAGTTGCTGGTCTGGTTGATGCAAAGAATCTCTTTCACTATAGGACACATTGTATTCTCTTGCTGCTGCTTTGCTGGTGGTGAGGTTCTTAAATTCTGTTGCTAGATTGGCAAAACTAACCACCCTTATGGATAAACTAATACACCCTATTTGCATATTCCTACCCATCCACATAGCAAAGTCTGTCAGTGACTGGGGAAGCCAGTTATTTGAACAATAACCTGTTCACAGTAGATCCCACTAAGCAAAGTCAGTCAGTGACTAGGGAAGCCAGTTATTTGAACAATAAACTGTTCACAGTAGATCCCACTAAGTTGTATAGTAAAAAGCTGGAATTTTAGGCATACGTTGTTGTTGTTAAGTGCCGTCGAGTTGCAGGCGACTCATAGTGACCCTATGAAGGAGAGCCCTCGACACTTGGGTGCCTTTCATCCTCTCTCCAGGTTCATAGGGTTTCCAGAGGCAAGCTATTATTTAAGTGGATGCCACTCCTCCTTCCATGCTTGTTTTAATCGGGGAGCTCCACCCCATTCTCTGTCCGCACTGGGTAGCCAACCATTAATGCATTTGACACATCTGTGTCACAGTGTTCAGCCTCACAGCAACCACAAGTGACCACGGGATGGCAACTTGTACACCAGGGCTATATGACCTAGAGGAATGTCTGAGCAAAAACAATGAAAGACTGGCCTGAGGGCCGCGGATTAAAAGTCACCCACCTTGGTCTTGGTCACGTCATTTTCTCATCACTGGGCCAGCTGATCTCTCTCTGTTGATGTTATTGTTAAGTGCCGTCGAGTCACAGGCGACTCATAGCGACCCTATGAAGGAGGGCATATAGGCATAAATTATGAAAAACAGGCTTATCTACCAAGAAATAGAATGGGATAGACAGAAGTAAACTAAAATGATATAATCAGCATGAAGGGTTTATAATAATTTGAAAATCACTGTCATGATTGAAAAAATAGATAGGGTGAATGAAACTTTTAAAGTAGCTTGAGGAAACCTTAAAAACTTTAGTTTAATCTCTTAGTAAATGTTAACCTAGCACACAGTGAGTGGCAGCAACTTAAACTTTGACTCCTACACTTCTCATACCATACTAACATTCTCAGTGATTATATTTTAAAGGAAATTATAATTTCAGAATTAATGTTCTGTACATAACTAAGGTTACTTTAACAAGGTTATAAACAAATCAGTTTTTGGTAAAACACCTACATTTGTGTCTTGAAACTAGTAATATTCTAGACGCTATTAACTAAAAAGTATATTTAAAGCTATCATATATCTTAAACGGAGCACTGATGGCCTGATGGATAGGGAGTTGTGCTGCCATCTCATTGGTGAGTGGTTTCAATCCACTAGCTCCTCTTGGGAAGATCCGCGAGTAGTCTCCCTTGTGATTTACCAGGGAGAGGGAGACAGAAACACATAACAACCCTATGTGAGCCAGCTTCCACCTTTCCTTCTTACCTTGCATTACTGTCATTTTCTCTGTATCGTGGACACAGTTGCCTTCTGCCAGTTTTTCAAACTCAGTGGAGTCTTTTTGGAGGGTATTTGCAAAAACAGCTTTCTCTGCTGAGAATTCTTTGGTCTTTATTGTAAAGTGATAGATCGTTTCTTGTCATTGTGAACTAGGCTAAAAGATATCTTTAGTGAAATTTTCATTGAACATCCAAACTTAATTTATCATGCAGTGACTTAATTTTAGTTCATGAAACAACATATAAGCCAGAGCCTATGGTGATGAAGGAAGAAGTTCAGGCTGCTTTGAAAGAAATAGCAAAAAATAAGGCCCGGAATAGATGGTATACCAATTGACATTTTTCAACTAACAGATGCTGCCCTGGATGTGCTCTCCAAGTTGTGCCAAGAAATCTGGAGAACAACCACTTTGCCAACTGACTGGAAGAGATCGATATTTATTCCCATTCCAAAGAAGGGTGACCCAACAGAGTGTGGAAACTATAGAATGATATCAATTTCACATGCAAGCAAGATTCTACTGAAGATTATCCAAAAACGACTGGAACAGTACATCAGCAGAGAACTGCCAGAAGTCCAGGCTGGGTTTAGAAGGGGTCATGGTACTAGGGATATCGTAGCTGATGTTAGATGAATCTTAGCTGAAAGCAGAGAATACCAGAAGAATGTCTATCTGTGTTTCATTGACTATGCAAAGGCATTTGACTGCGTGGATCATAACAAACTGTGGCTGACTCTGAGAAGAATGGGAATCCCAGAACACTTGATCATTCTAATGCGAACCCTATTCTTGGACCAAGAGGCAGTCGTCAGAACAGAGCATGGAAACACTGCATGGTTCAAAATTGGGGATGGTGTATGCCAGGGATGTGTCCTATCTCCATAGCTTTTCAACCTGTATGCAGAACAGATTATCTGAGAGGCTGGGCTGTATGAGGAGAAGTGTGGCATCAGGATTGGTGGAAGATCTATTAACAATCTGCATCATGCAGATGACACAGCCCTGCTTGCTGAAACTGAGGAGGACCTGAAATGCTTGCTAGAGAGGGTCAAGGACTGTAGCCTTCAGTATGGATGAAGCTCAATGTCAAGAAGACAAAGATTCTCACCACTGGACCAATTGGCAGTATCAGGATGGGTGGTGAAGAGATTGAGATTGTTAACAACTTTAGTCTGCTTGGCTCCACGGTTAACATCTTGGCACCAGTATCCTGGAAATCAAAATACGTATTGCGTTGGGAAAGTCTGCTGTTAACGACCTCTCAAGGGTACTGAAGAGCAGTGGTGTCACTCTGGAGACTAAGGTGTGTCTGATACAGGCTGTGGTCTTTGCAGTCACTTTTTATGCATAAGAGAGTTGGACAATGACTAAGGAGGATAGAAGGAGAATTGATGCCTTTGAGCTATGGTGCTGGAGAAGAGTATTGAATGTACCCTGGACTGCCAAGTAAAGAAAGATTCATCCTGGAGAGGGTTAAACCAAGCTGCTCCTTTGAGGAAAGGATTCTGAGGCTTCGTCTGACGTACTTTGGACATGTTGTAAGGAGGGAAAAGTCCTTGGAGAGGGACATCATGCTTGGGAGGGTGGAGGGATGGCATAGAAGGGGAAGACCCTCTATGAGGTGAATTGATTCAGTGGCTGGGGTAATCGGGATGGGTGTGTCAGAGGCAGTGACACTGGCACAGGACAGAGCAGGGTTTAGGGCTGTTGTACATAGGGTCCCTGTGAGTTGCAAGCGACTCTATGGTACTTAACAACAACAATAACATAGCTTTTTTCCCCCTAGTATTTTTTAGTTGTGTAATAATTTGCTTGTTTATTGCCTGTGTTTTGCCACCAGAATGTATGTTTCATGAGAATAGGGATCTTATTTTTATTTTTAAATGTGCTATTCCCAGCACTTAGAATATTGCCGACTGTGTTTTAGGGTCTTAGTGAAGATTCAGGGGATCTCTGGTGGCTGACTCTATAGGGACTTAGGCTGCTTGCCTAAAAGCTCAACCTCTTTTGTGGTATGAAGCTTCCAGGGATTCTGTGAGAGACAGATGGATCATCATCTTCCATGCCATTTACATCTCCTGGAAAGCTGCTGGAGGGTCAGCTATGAGTTAATTTCAATTCACAATTAATTTGAGTGTCTGTTTAATGAAGATTCAGGGATCGTTGGTCACAACGTGGTTAAGATGCTTATCTGTAAACTGAAAGGTCTACAGTTCAAACTGACCAGCTGCTCCATGAGAGAAAGATGTGGCAGTGTACTTTTAGAAGTCTTTGCAGCTTTGTAAACCCTATATGGCTGTTTTGCTTAGTCCTTACAGAGTTGTTTTGAGTCAGAATTTACTTGATGGCAGTGGGTTTGGAAATAAACTTATCTGCTTGATATATAAGTGAAAATGTTTCTTAAGTGGTTTCTTGGTAAATAGAAA